CTCTTTTTCTTTCTAAACTGTTTTTCTTCTTAAGATTTTTTAGCTGTTATTTCCTGGTAAATTGATTGATTAGATTTTGTTCCAGTATGTAGTTTCATTTGGGGTTATGATTAGACGTTATAACTGTGATAATAGTTGTATTATGTTGCTTTTGGTCAAGCAGAACGTTCTTGGTTTTTACGTGCAGTAACTTTCAGCTTGCTTCAGTCCCCGGCTGTCGTATGGCAACTGTGCAGTTCATTGTTTTAAGTGGCATGGCAGGTTTTGAGACATAGGTAGTTTCCATGTAATAGGCAATCAGATTTAGGTTTTAGGTTAAAATGTCATTGAATTAAGTTTTATAGAACATAGAGTAAGTTCATAATTTTTATACTTATTAGTACTAATGATAAGGTTTGTAATAGATTATAGTAGGATAATAGTTGTATTAGAATTTAGACATGATATTATAAGATAAGTAATTAATAAAGTATAAAAGACAATAGTTTAGATATTTGAAATTTATAGAAGTTGTGATAAAATTTTAGGTTAAGGATAAGTTCATAGGTAATTAATATACAATCATAGGGCAGTATAGAAATGTAGTAGGTTATAAGAATTATAAAAATAAATAGTATAAAATTAAGGTAATAAAATTAAGTCATTTAAGTAAACTTATAGATTATAGTATAGTGTTAAGTTAATAATATTAATCGTCAAAAATATTAAAAGTTAGTAAAATTGGATTGAACTTAGAGTTAACTTGGAAAGTGTTTTAATCAGGGTTTAGAGCTTAGAGTATAATATGAATGATTTATTGAACATTGTGGAAAACATTTTGAACAATCTGTATTGAAATTGTGCACCTGTGATTCATACATCATGGAATTGTAATTGTTCGCTGGGAACCTGAAAGTCTTGTGATGGTACATGATTTGTAAAACGTGTTACACATCAATGAATTTGTATGCCCCCAGCAAGTAATTGTCACACTGCTGGAGATTATAGAAAATGGTATATAAGTTGGAAAAAGTTTGAATAAAATTGGCTTCAGTCTTGGCCAGACTGTTCCCAGAAGAGCTGCCTCCGTGTGGTTTCTTCTTTCCGTTCTGATTCACCGGTGCGGTCCTAACCCCCCCTTGGTCAGTGCAGGTCACCGACACAAAATAATAGCCTCTTTTAACAATCTGTTTATATTACTCTGATAGAATTTATTCTGTGAATCTTCCATGACAATAAACCTTATATATTTTTTGTTCTTATGTCCCCCAAATCTTACCTGAGTACAGCCAAGATATAAATTATTAAGGACTAGGCTTGGTGGCTTAGCGTGTAATCCCAGCACTTTGGGAGGTTGAGGCGAATGGATTGCCTGAGCCTGTGGGTCGAGACCAGCCCGGGCAACTTGGCAAGACCTCGTCTCTACAATTAAAAAAAAATTAACTGGACGTGGTAGTGCATGTCTGTAGTTCTGGCTGCTTGGAAGGCTGAGGTGGAAGAATCGCTGGAGCCCAGCAGGATGATCCTGAAGTGGTTGTGAGTGTGCCACTGCACTCCAGTCTGGGTGACAGAGTGAGACTCAGAATCAAAAAAAAAAAAAAAAATCTTTAAAAAAAACTATTAACAAGAGCACATTCAAAAATTTCTTTTCACACCATTCTCAGGAATATGAAAAGTTGGTTGTAATATATAGCTATGATTTAAACAGAGTCAGGGTCATTCCTTTCTATGGTTTTAATTAGAAGAATAGTATCCACCTGTATTCTGAAAATTTGTTCTTTTTAGGAGTCCAGGTTTTATGTGTTCTTAATATAAACAAGGATATTTCTGCAGATTCAGGGTGCCAAGTGTAAAAATTAAATTAGAGAATTTAATGCTGCTCTACATGTGAAATATTTTTTCCATGAAATGCATGTATAATTGGCTCTCCATATAAATGGGTTTCTCATCCTGCACATATTGTATTTTCAATCTGCTTTTCATTAAAAAAATTAAGTACAAATGGAAACATGTATTTAAAACAATTTTGTTCAAGGGTCAACTGTATTTACTTAATTCAAGTCTTTTTACTATGGGTAAATAATATTAAAAGAGAGTTCAGATGCACATTTTTGCTGTTTTATCATCAAAAAACCAAGACTATGTAGTTAAATTGTTTTTACATCACTAGAAAGCATTCGATTGTACAATATACCTTATTGCGGAGAAGTAGAAATGTTAGAGGACCACGGTGTATGATTAGGAATTCAGAGCTTGATGAGTACTTGGTCTAAAAGTAATTGAATTTTTAAGATTTTTAATGTATAAGTGCCATAGCACAGGGATCCCCAATGCCCTGGCTTTGGGCCAATAGTGGTCTGTAGCCTGTTGGAAACCAGGCTTCACAGCAGGAAGTGAGCCGCAGGCCAGCGAGTGAAGTTTCCTCTGTATTTACAGCCACTCTTCATCACTCTCATTACCACCTGAACTCCACCTCCTGTCAGATCAATGGCAGCATTAGATTCTCATAGGAAGGCAAACCTTATTGTGAACTGTGTATGCAAAGGATCTAGATTGTGTGCTCTGTTTTATCCTGTGAATCTTCCATGCCTGATTTAATGCCTGATGATCTGAGGTATCACTCTCTCTCATCACCCCCAGATGGGACTGGATAGCTCCCACTGATTCTGCATCATGGTGAGTTGTACAATTATTTAATTGTATATTACAACGTAGTAATAATAGAAATAAAGTACACAATACATGTAATTCACTTGAATTCTCCTGAAACCATCCCCCTGCCCCTGGTCTGTAGAAAAATTATCTTTCACAAAACAGGTCCCTAATGCCAAAAAGATTGGGAACCACTGCTATAGGAGAATTAGAAGAGTTCTATTATTTCTGAAGTACTGCTCAAGAAGTTGACATATTTTTACATTCACACGTTCAGAATATATAGGTTTGCTTCTGTGATATGCCCAGGAGAGACAACAGAAAAGACAACAGAAAAACTGATAATCTAATGGTCAGCTGTTTGCAAGTTTTAGTGTCCCCTTCAGTCATTAAAAACACATAACTTTGTTCCCACCAAGATGTTAGAATAGAGGCTTTGTCAGCATGCCTTGTCCAAAATATTTCTGAGGTTCACACCATGAACTTGTATCCATGAAAGAACATGGGAATTCGACATAAATGTGAAGAAAACTTCAGATACTATTTTTTTTGTAAAATTCAGGCAGCAACCTGAACTTTGGAGTGTGATGGAAAAATGTAAGTGAATCCCTATTGTGTGAGAGGAAAAGTGAATGGCTCCACAGTACACATTCCACAGGGGAGCTGAGCAATCTAGGTCACAAGGGAGTTCTTTGATCCTTCCAAGCTTTGACTCTGACTTGGGAACAAGTTTGGGAGACTGTGAGAGGAAATGGTTCTGGAAAATTCTCCGCATACACTCCTATACCTGGGTGCCAGTTGAAGGAGTCTTTCTGATCCTAGATCATAGTGGGCTGCACAGGACCAGTCAGCCATAATGGGTGTTAGTCACTGGTTTGGAGTCTTGGGCTGGGGATTTGCAATCTGGTCTCGAGTGAGGAAGGGGCCCCGTGGCCAGAACCAAGATATGAGTGTGTAGCATGTGTTTTAGCTGTGGGTGCTGGCATTGGATGCATCCCCATTCATGGGAGCAAACTGCGAGGGGTTTAGCTTCAGAGGCATGGTTTTGACCCAAGTGGTGAATTTCGTGGCCTGAGGCAGTTTTGCAGTCTTGAGTTAAACTGTGTGTGGCTTGGTTAACTGTCCATACTCACTGCCAGCATCAGGCCAATGGAAGGAGCCCCACCAGGTCAGGAGCATGTAGGTGAAGTCCAACTACCACTTGTCGGGTTGTGGAGTCCAAGCCACCCTCTTCCCCCATACTGAGTCTTTGGCATGGCAGAAGTCACTCCACTTCTTGCTGAGGCATTTCTCCAGGAGCCTGTGGATTGCTCCCCAACCCTCATGGGAGATAGTGCTAGCACTCACCCTGGGGGCAAGTGCAGGCTTTCCCAGCCCAGCCCTACCAAGCTTTGCCCGCATACCTGGGAGGCAGAGCATGGGAGCAGTGTCACTAAACATTCCATGGCTCGACACATTGCCTGAGAAACCTGAGTATTTCTTTGGGTCAGGAAAGGTTAAGCATCTAACCTACTGCCACCACCAGGGCTCTCTCTCACCTGCAAGTGCCACCTCCCATCCTGGAGCTCAACCTACACTGTAATGAGTCAGACCATTATAACATCTGCTCAAGCCATTGCCTTGCTAAACTACGGCGTGGTCGTGTGCCCTTTGAGTTATGGCAGGGCCAAGTTCCCTGGCTGTGGCCCCCTCTCCTTCCTTGGGGAGGTGAATCTCCTCCTTCTCATTCTCTCTCTCTTCAATTTACTTTCTAAATAAGCTATATTTTCTAATCTAAAAAAAAATAACATCTGCTCACGTTCACATGGCTTAGGAAGAAAACAAGTGTCACATGATGTCTGCTACCATCAATATCTATGCTACTCAGGTTACTCAGAAGGACTTGAGCCTACTGGCAAACTCAATGCACTGCTGTAAATATCAGCAACAGAGAAAGACACCACTAGTACTATGGCTATTTCTAACCAAGAAAATTATACAAAGTCTACACCACAGAATACACCCAGAAGCAAAATCAAATGACTCTACTCAATGTACGTCACAGTCACATCATTAAAAAAAAAAGTTCTGGGCGTGCTGCGTGGCCGTCCGGGCTGCTGGGGACAGGGCGGGGGCCGGTGTCACCTCTTTGCCTTGTCATCCCCTCACGCTGCCCGGTCATTGAGCGGGCCGCCGGCCCCATGAAGATCTGGACTTCCGAGCATGTCTTTGATCACCCGTGGGAAACTGTCACAACAGCTGCAATGCAAAAGTACCCAAACCCTATGAACCCAAGCGTAGTTGGAGTTGATGTGCTGGACATATATTTAGATTCCTCTGGAAAGTTGCACAGCCATAGGCTTCTCAGCACAGAGTGGGGACTGCCTTCCATCGTGAAGTCTCTCATTGGTGCAGCAAGAACCAAAACGTATGTGCAAGAACATTTTGTAGTTGATCCTCTAGACAAAACAATGGAACTTAAATCTACTAATATTTCATTTACAAATATGGTTTCAGTAGAAGAGAGACTTATCTACAAATCACATCCTCAGGACCCAGAAAAAACTACTTTGACTCAAGAAGCCATAATCACTGTGAAAGGAGTCAGCCTTAGTAGTTACCTTGAAGGACTCATGGCATGTACAATATCTTAAAATGCCAATAAAGGCCGAGAAGCAATGGAATGGGTAGTACATAAATTAAATGCTGAGATTGAAGAATTGACAGCTTCAGTAAGAGGAAGCATAAGGACTCCAATGGCGGCAGCAGCATTTGTAGAGAAATGATCATGGAAATCGGTAGACAACCTTGGGTGCCCAGGTCTCTCCAAGTTGGCAATATATTTATTTGTTATTTAAAAAATACAACTCTATTTTAGGTATGAGAGACTTCATGATGGAAGGCAGTCCCCACTCTGTGCTGAGAAGCCTATGGCTGTGCAACTTTCCAGAGGAATCTATATGTCTGACCAGCACATCAACTCCAACTACGCTTGGGTTCATAGGGTTTGGGTACTTTTGCATTGCAGCTGTTTTTTTTTTAATAAGCTGACATAAGGCTAAGTTACTTGATCAAAAACAGATTCAGGGCTTCTAAATAAAAGGGATCATATAAAAAAAAAGTTCTGTCTTAATAAAAGTAAGCTCAAAAAATAAAAAAATTACTGTTTCTTTAGATATGAAGAAATCAGTATAATAATACTGATACTGTAAAAAAGTGGGGTATTATGAATCCCCCCCAAACAAAGTAACTGTCTATAAATAGATCCTAACCAAAATCATATTTTCAAAATGCCAATAAATAATTCAAAATATTAATTTTAAACAAACTCAATGAGATCCAAGAGAAATCTGAAAATCAACCAAGTAAATCAGAAAAATAATTCAGGATATGAGCAAGAAATTTGCCAAAGAGATCGCTTAAAAAAAAATGAACAGAACTTTGGGAAATAAAAAAAAAATTAAAGGAATTGCAAAATATAGTTGAAGGCTTTAATAATAGACAAGGTTAAATAGAAGAGAGGATCTCAGAACTTAAAGACAAGTCTTTTGAATAAATCCAGTCAGGCAAAAATTTAAAATATAATAATAAAGAATAAACAAAGTCTTCTAGAAGTAAAATGCTGCATAAAATGACTGTATAAATAATTGGTATTCCTAGGGGAGAAGAAAAAGCAAAAAGTCTAGAAAACTTATTTATGAAAATAGTCAGTTGAGACTTTTCTAGTTTTGTAATAGATGCAGACATCCAGACACAAATAACCCAGTGAATGCCAGGAAAGTACATTGCAAAATGGACTTCACATAATATACAGTCTTTGTATGTAAAGGTCAATGTGAAAGAAAAAAAAAAAATCAGCAAAAGAAAAGAATCTAGTCACCTGTAAAGGCAATCCTGATAGAATAACAGCAAACGTCTCAGCAGAAAAACCTTACAAACCAGAAGAGATTAGGATCCTATTCAGAGTGCTTACAGAAAAAGCAAAAACAAAATACTGTCCACCACAAATTTTATATCCTGCCAGAATAATTTTAATAAATGAAGGAGAAATAGTCTTTCTCAGACAACCAAACACTGAGGGATTCAGTCACCACTAGACTGCCCTACATAAAAAGTTCAAAGAGTTCCAAACATAGAAACAAATGGTTGATATTTGCCATCCTAAAACCCACAAATGTATAAAACCCACAGATCTTATAAAACAATTAAACAAAGAAGAAAGAAAAAATGCATGACAAAACTCCACTAAACCACAAAGGCAAACAGACAAAGAGAAAAAAAAAATCCATGAAGAATCCACATACAAAAAGATAACAAACTAACATAATAAGAACAAAAAACTTTGCTGATCTATATTAACCTTGAACTGGTTAGTATTAAATTTCTTAACTTGGATTAAATGTACCACTTAAAACATACAGATTGACAGAATAGATTAAAAAAAAAAAAAAACATGAGGAGACGGGGCAAGATGGCGACGGCATAGGTGAACTGGTGAGATTCTCTGAACGTGAGTTCCCAAAAAGGCTATCACTTCGCTACCCCCATCCCCCAGCCCACCACAACCGCGCTGGGGGCAGGCCCGGGAACTTCAGTCCCACGC